GAGAGGCCTTCAGAGTCCGGGGAAGGGGACAGCACGTCGAAGGAGCCAGGGAAGTCCAGGGGAATGGGGGGCAGGGGGTCTGCGGGATAAAGAATGGTACGTGAGCTGGGAAAGTCAGGGGTCCGGGCGCCAGCCCCCCAAACCCCATTTCCAGGAGTCCAGCTCCCCAGCTCATGCTTCCCTTGGACGTAGGAGTCCGGAACCTCAGCCCCTACCTCCCCTAAATCTAAGAATTCAGATCCTACCATCAGGCTCCACCTGATCCTCCAGGATGTCATCGATGCCCCGGTTCGGAAGCAACTGCGGATGGAGAAATTCGGCGAGAACTCGGGACTCCGACCTGGACCTGACTAGAGAACCCTAGCCGGATTCAACCCACACCCTCTTACCTGCGCCCTCCGGATCGCTTCCTGCAGCTCCTCCTCCAGAGTCAGAGCCGCTGAGCCCGGCGCTGAGGAAGGGTTCAGGGCTGGAGCTGCAGCAGGAGCCGAAGTGGTAGTTGGAGCCGGCGCCGTCCCCCGGGTATCCACGGCACGTGGAAGAGGTGGCCTGTGAGATGCTGCGCTGGGCTTGACCTAGAACAGCCAAGAGGGGTAGCTCCCATAAGCCACGCCCACCGGGCGCAACCCCACCCACTCGCAACGTGTGGCTCCACCCCTTGATCCTGCCGCGACCCCTTGCTCATCAACCCCTCCTTTGGTCTCGCCCCCTATTCTTTCATTAGCTTCTCTTCCCTAAAGATCCTCCCCCAGTTGCTCTGAACTACGCCCCCTCGCTTCGAGGCTTCCCACCGCTGATCCACGCCCCCATACTTCATTGGCTAGTTTTTTCGACTCCCCGCCCCTCCCACTTTGCTTTCTCTTCATTGGTCCACACGCGCATAGCCCCGCCCTCACCGAGCCCTGACGCCTGGCGGCTGCCAGGGCCTTGGGCCTGAGGCGCGGCCAGGGAGCACCCACGGGACTGTCCTCGCGCCGCGGCTTCGGCCGCTCGCGGGGCGGGGCGCCGCCGCGCATGCGCTCCAGGAGCATGGATTTGGTCCCCGACACTGGGAGGCCCCGCAGGCGCAGCTGCTGCCGGAGCTCTGAGACCTGGGGGGGGGGGGGGGGAAGAGGCAGTGCTGGGCGGGCTCCGGGGCGCAGGCGGGAGCCGGACAGGATATTTGGAAGCCGAGAAAGGAGACACTGGGGGTCCGGACTCCTGGGACCCTAAAACACGATGGGACTGGGTACCCGATGTCCTGGATTTCCAGCGGGTAGAGGCTGCGGGGTTGGAATTCTGGGACCCCACCGAAGGAGAGAGCCAGCCTGGAAAGTGACACCCCAAACTTACCGTCAGCTCCTCCAGTTTAAGGGTCTGAAGTTCCAACTTGTGTGGAGGGGGCGAGGGGCTAGGGACTCCTGGTGGGCAGGGAGTGAGAACAGAGGGCTTCATCCTGGTGATAATCGTGAGAGGTGAACAAAGGTTAGAGGGGTAGAGGGGGAAAAGGCGTTCTGGGGTCCTCAAAAACGGGGGGCTGGGGAAGATGCAGAAAAGTGAGGGCCCAGAATTCTGGGTCTCCGAGGGCGCAAACATGGGGCTAGATTTCTGTGCATGGGGGAGGAGGAACTAGGGGTTCAGACTCGGGTTTGAAGGGCAAAGGGAGGGGCTGGGATCCTGGACTCTTAAACCCTGGGGGAGGAAGGGGTTGGGGGCCCGAATCCCCTAATCGTGGACTCGAGGTTTGAGAGAGGAAGATGCTGGGACCTGAATTTCTGGGTCCCGGGAGAACAGAAAGGGGCGTCATACCTAGGATGTGGCTGCTGCGAGTCTGTCCCTTCCCACAGAGGTGGCCCGGGAGGACCCAGGGCGGACCCCTCGGCTTGGGGGTCTGCCCTGGATCCCTGTCTCGGCTCTGGGGGCATGTACTGGTGGTATGTCAAGTTCCCCTTGGGCTTGGACTCCCTCCAGCGTTGGGTGATCTTGGGAGACTCCTGAAAGAGCAGGTATGATGTGCTAGGCTTCAGCGCGGCTCCCACCTTCCTGCCCCGGGGCTACATGCAAAGTAGAGTCAGCTCGGTGCCACCAAAGAGGAGCAAAAATGGCAGCAGCAGCAAGGGAGACAAAGGCTGGGCTCTCATAGGGACCTCTCCCTCCGGTCGAGACTCACCTTCTTTGGGGACCTCCAAGGAGGACAATATTCTGGCTCGGGGAGCAGGACCCCAGGGCTGAAGAGGAAAGGGGCCGTGCCCGAGGGCAAGGCCGGGGCCAAAGGAGGGCCTGAGGCTGAGATCCACGGGTCTGGATCCGAGACTGGAGAGACGATGAAGGACCCTGAGAGGCCTGCAGGCAGCAAGCCAGGCCGGGAGGAGCAAGGCTGTGTGGAAAGCGGGGCCCCGGGGTGCAGGAGGGCAGGCCAGGGAGCAAGACTTGAGTGCTGGGAGCTGGGCGCCTGAACTCCTGGATCTGAGGGCGGAGGTGTGGGGGGGCCCGATTGTTACATTCTCAAGTAAAGCAGGAATTTTCTATCACAAAGGGGTGTGGTAGCTGAGGATCACAGATGTCTGAGGTTTTGCTAGGACAGGGGTGGGGCCTGCACTCCTGGTTGTTCGGGAGAGGGAGAGGCTGAAAGCTACATCCAGGCCAACCGTGGTGGCTCATGCCTGTAATCCCAGCACTTTGGGAGACTGAGGCAGGTGGATCACTTGAGGTCAGGAGTTCGAGACCCACCTGGCCAACATGGTGAAACCCCGTCTCTACAAAAAATACAAAAATTAGCTGGGAGTGGTGGCGCCTGCCTGGAATCCCAGCTACTCAGGAGGCTGAGGCAGGAGAATCGCTTGAACCTGGGAGGTAGAGATTGCAGTGAGCTTAGATTGAGCCATGACACTCCAGTCTGGCAACAGAGCAAGACTCCATCTCAAAAACACAAAAACAAAAACAAAAACTACATCCAGAGCTTCTCGTGTATACCAAATGTGGAGACTGGGATGCCCATCTTCTCCAAAGAAGCAGGATCCAAACTCATGCATCTCATTGGGGTGGAGAAGCAGGAAGCAGAGCTCCTAGGGGTGGGGTGGCCAGAGACCTGGACCCCTGGATCCTTGGGAAAGGACAGGCTGGGATTTTGGTCTGTCCCAGGGATGGGGACTGAGCTGCAGGAACCAATGAGGGCTATCTGGCAGCTGTATTCCAGGATATCCCAATCGGCGGCAAGTCACCATCCCCTCCCTTTTGGGGCCCACACTTACTCTGCTCCTGATTCCGTCTGTGGATCCGAAGCTGGAGGACTGTGGAGGGAGGAGGGAGGTGGGAGGAGGAAGGCGGGAAGGGAGTGTCCAGGAGCCTGGCCTGGCAGGCGGGTGGGAGCTGCAGTTGTTGGCGGGACACGCGTGCCCAGCCCCCTTACACAGCCTGTGCAGGCGGGTGGGCGGGCAGCAGGCTCCCTTCCTCGGGCCTCCCGCCTGCTCTCTGCCAGCGCAGCGCTGCAGGCCAGCGCCATTCTGGGGCTACGAGCCAGCCAGCGTGCAGGCAGGAGGCAGCCCTGCCCCTGGCTCCACCTGCCCCCTCCATGAGCAAGCGTGTGCCCACCCCACCCCCTGCGCAATCGCCATCTTGGCAGCCTGGCCCCTTTGCACCTCGCCTCCCTTTATCCATGCACTCCTGCTACTTTCTGTGCTATCTGGGGGCCTTCCTACAGTTAACACTCTCCGCATATCCACATTTTAAGTATGCATCTCTTTGGGCTCTAGTTTTGCACACATGCCATTTTTGTGCACTTGCGTGTTTTTGCACACTCTTCATCCTTGACCCACTGTGCCTCAGCATCCATGTTAACACTCTTTTTTCCTTTTTTTAATTTGTTTTATTTTTTTAGAGACAAAGTGTCACTCAGTAGCCCAGGCTGGAGTGCAGGGGTGCGATCACAGCTCACTGCAGCCTTGAACTCCCAGGCTCAACCCATCCTTCCACCTCAGTCTCCTGAGTACCTGGGGCTACAGGCATGCACCACCACACCTAGCTAAATTTTTTTGTTTTGTTTTTATTTTTTGTAGAGACAGGTCTCGCTGTGAAGCCCAGGATGAATGTTAACTTTTTTTTTTTTTTTTTTTTTGAGACAAAGTCTCGCTCTGTCACCCAGGCTTCAGGGCAATGTCATGATCTCGGCTCACTGCCTTCTACTCCAGATTCAGCGATTCTCCTGCCTTAGCCTCCCAAGTAGCTGGGATTACAGGTGCCCACCACCACACCCAGCTAATTTTTTTTTTTTTTTTTTTTTTTTTTTTTTTTTTCCCGAGACAAGAGTATTGCTCTGTCACCCAGGCTGGAGTGCAGTGGCACGATCTAGACTCACTGCAACCTCCACCTCCTAAGTTCAAGCAATTCTCCTGCCTCAGCCTCCCTAGTAGCTGGGACTACAGGCGCACGCCACCACACCTGGCTAATTTTTTGTATTTTAGTAGAGACGGGGTTTCACCGTGTTGCCCAGGCTGGTCTCGTACTCCTGAGCTCAGGCAATCTGCCCACCTCAGCCTCCCAAAGTGCTAGGACTACAAGCGTGAGCCACCTCACTTGGTGTCAATTTTTTGTATTTTTAGTAGAGACAGGGTTTCGCCATGCTGGCCAGGCTGGTCTTGAACTCCTGACCTCAGGTGATCCACCTGCCTTGGCCTCCCAAAGTGCTGGGATTACAGGCATGAGCCACCACACCTGGCCAGGATGAATGTTAACTATCTTATGTGCACACTCAGGGTTTGTCCCCCAGTTTGGGAGCAAGGATCTCTCTGCACATTTCTGCTCTTCTCTGGATATATGCGCCTTTTTGTACACTCCTTGCTCTTTGGTTTCTAGTGTCTTTGTACCCATCCAATCACACAGACATGCTCGTGTGCACACTGAAGTACCCTTTACCTTCTCAGGAACTGATCTATAGGTCAAAACACTTGCACACTTTTTTTTTTTTTTTTTTTTTTGAGATGGAGTTTTGCTCTTGCTTTCCAGGCTGGAGTGAAATGGCACGATCTCGGCTCACCACAACCTCCGTCTCCCAGGTTCAAACTATTCTCCTGCCTCAGCCTTCTAAGTAGCTGGGATTACAGGCATGCGCCACCATGCCCGGCTACACTTGCAGACTTTTTGCCTGCCCTGGGACCTAAAACAAGACCTTTGACACTCACAGCTTGACAGCTCATTGTCCCCTCACCCAAACTCCCACACTGGTCCCCTGAAGTCCCTCCTCTGCTCTTCTGCCTCTGCATGTGCGCCATTGTAAGCCCTTGTTTCTCTGCAGTGCTCGCACACTCTGCAGGCCTCCCCCGGCCTCCAATCCCCATTGCTCCCCCCGTGAGGGTGGTGCTAGCCATTTGCACACTCGATCCACCACAGCTGGACCCCTGTGCTGGGGACTTCTTTATGCAACGTGACGTTTTGCACAAAAAACGCAGGCCTCATGGGTCCTAGCACCCCTCCCTTCCCACCCCCGAGTACAGCATTCTCAGGATCCCATCCCCCACACATGAAGACAGCCCTCTCTCACCAGATCGGAACTTGGAGCGAATGATTTGGGAACGCTGGGAGGAGGCCGCCAGGGTCATTGCCAAGGCCGGGATGGGGACCTGGACGGAGAGGGGGCAGGGCAGGGGCCCCATCGTGGGCTGGCTCACAGTGGAGGTCAGAAGGCTGGCCCTGTGAGTGAATTCAGCAGGGAAAGGGCCCGAGGGAGGTGGGAATAGGAGCAGCCTTGGGCCATAACTTCTGGATCCCAGGGGCTGTAGAGCAGGGGGCTGCAGACCTGGACACCTTGCTCCGAGGTAGGAGGGAGCTGGGAACCCAGACCCCTGATCTGAAAGACAGGGACTGAGGGCCTCAACTCCAGTATCCTGGGAGGGGAGGGACCTGGGATCTGGGAATCCTAGGTCCTGAGGAGGAAGGGATTGTAGGTTGGGACCCCTGCATCAAGGAAAGGGAGGAAGCAGTGGGGTCTGGACTCTGGAATCTTGAAGGAGAAGGAGGTTAAGGGCTGGAACTCAATACTCTAAGGAGATGAGAATCCAAGATCCTGGGTGGAGAGGGGAACCCGGCCCTGACAGGTTTCTGAGGAATAGAAGGGTCCCTGTGACCTGTATCTGAGAAGGAGTGAGTGGGGTGTCAGCCACCAGGGTCTCTGGGGAAGGGACTGGGACCAGAGAGGGGACAGAACCGTTGAGAAGTGCGCCCCCCATCCACCCCAGGGGCTTCTCACCAGGTGGGCTCGGCGAAGCTGTGCTCTGGGGCGGGTTGAGTCTAGAGGCCGAGGCTGGACACCGCAGGCTCCGCCCCACCAGCCTGGGACCGCCTCTAACCCACCTTCCTGGGGTGTGCCGGGAGCCCCGCTGGGGACCCTGAGAAGGGTGGGAGCACCCGCTGGGAGGGCCTGAGCGGGCCTGGGGGGATGCTGGGGGGCAGGAGGGGGGACGCCAGGGTTCCCCGGCTCGCCCCCCCCCTGCTCGTCCTGGGGCTGTGGGGTGGGGTGGAGCGGTGGCAGGCGGACTGACAGAAGCAGGTGCCCGGAGAGGGGTGCCGAGTGAGCAGCAGCGGCAGGTGGTCGTGTCCCGGCCCTGCCGGCAGGTGCCACCTGTCGCCTACTTTTTCCCTGACGCAGCAACTGGAGTCAAGTTCAGGGGAGTGAAAAGTTCAAACTGGGGGCCCAGATTCCTGGATCCAAGAAAGGAGAGGGATGGGGACCTCGACTCCTGGGTTTGAAGAAAAAGAGGCAGGGGCCTCTGGGGTGCTGGGAACGGGGACAGAGGTGTTGGGATTCGGCAGTGTGCCCGGCAGGCAAAGGTCCAGAGGGGGCTGGGGACTCAGATTCCTGGGTCTGAGGAAGGAGGGGGCTGGAGTATGGATTTGCGGGTTGGGGGTCGAAGGGAGACATCGCTGGTTCCCACTGGCAGGACTGAGGGCCTTATAATCGGCAGGGCAAGCTTAGGGCCGTGTTCTGAGGGGTGTGGGAGGCTCCTGTGCTCTTGGATTGGATTACATGCAAAAGGGCGAGCCAAGGCCGCGGCTATAAATACCTACTCAGACTCGGCAGGGGCACAGACAAGGGCCCTGCAACCTTGTTCTGCAGAAAACCATCATTAGCGCCCCCAAGTCTTAACAATCGAGGCGCTGCCGATACCACAGATACCTTTATTTGTCCTTGGCATTCACATCCTAAGCCCATGCTCCCACCGTCCCATCCGCTACTTCCCGAAAACTCAATCTCCCAACATTCCACGCGGGATAAGAACTACAACTCCCATAAAGCTCTGCGCTCGGGCGGGCTCCTGTCAGTGGAAGCCCAAGACATTTCAAGGTGCGCGCTCTCGTTTGGTATTGGTTCTCATGGAGACGCGGCCACGGGAGGCCCATGGCGATAATTGGCTGGCAGCTCCTGCTGCTCAAGATCCCAGAGGAGGCGGCGTAGCCTGCGGAGTTCACGGTGCAAGGCGTCATTCGTCACTGGACCAGTGAGGCGCAGGCGCGAGCTCCCCAGGGGCAGGATGAGGGGCGGGTGCGAGGAGAAGCTTTCGAAGATGTCACCTGTGAGACCGAAGTAGGCGGGGTTAGAGTCTGAAAGTGGGAGTGAGGTAGTTGCATCGGGGAGAGGCTGCGTCACACCCAAAGGAAGAAAAAAACTTCAAACCCCAGCAACTCCTCGGGCGGGGTCCGTTCACACGCTACTCTAGGATCCCCTGGGCATGATGGAAGTTGTAATTCAGACGATGGAAAGCCACCGTTGCCTGGGAAGCGGCTTCCCAAATCCCTGAGAAGGGGCTCGGAACTTGCCTTACAGATTCCTAAAGGTGGAGGAGTCAAGTTCAGGGGAGTGAAAGTCCCTAGACCTGGACTCCTAGGGGTGGTGGATGGGTGGCTGGTGGAGGGAATGGACTAGGGATGCGAACCACTGAGAATAAAGGGAGCTGGGGGCTTGAACTCTTATATCTTGAGGGGGGAAGGGGCTGGGTCCTGCACTTATGTCCTGGTGGAGAGGGACAGGGGTCCAGAATCGGTTTAGAAGGAGACTGGGGATCTGGACTCCAAGATCCTGAGAAAAGAAGAAAGGTGCGGTGGTTCACGCCTGTAATCCCAGCACTTTGGGAGGCCGAGGCGGGCAGATCACGAGGTCAGGAGTTCGAGACCAGCCTGGCCAACATGGTGAAACCCCGTCTCTACTAAAGATACAAAAAATTAGCCAGGTGTGGTGGCACACGCCTGTAATCCCAGCTACTCAGGAGGCTGAGGCAGGAGAATCGCTTGAACCTGAGAGGCAGAGGTTGCAGTGAGCCAAGATTTCGCACTGCACTCCAGCCTGAGTGACAGGGTGAGACTCCGTCTCAGAAGAAGAAGAAGAAGAAAGCTGACAGCCCCAATGCTGTATCCCGTTGCTCCTCACCTGTGTCCACAGCCTCCCGCTCTGCAGGGGGAGGGTCCCACGCGGCTGGCGGCTGGAGGCCAGGGCCCAGCTGGTAGTGGCTGAGCAGATGGTGCAGCTGGGCGGGGGTCAAGGTGGGGTGGTCCATTCTTAGGTTGCTCCATGAAGCCTGGTGGGAAGACCAGGTGAGAGGTTGATGGTCATTAGGGGGCAGCTGAGAAGTGAAATGGAAGGGCTTCCATAACGGGAGTGGGTGTGGCGGGAAGATAATGGCATCTCTGCAGTGTCTTCCGGGCACTGTGAAGTCTGTTTATCACCAAAGTGATGGTGGGGAAGGGTGTGCTCCCAGCAATTTTTTAAAATGTGATTTGCCTCAGGATAAATGAAGGATACAGGAAATGAGTGGGCTGGAAATAAATAAGATTGGCCATTCGTTTATGTTATTAAATCTGACGATGGTACTTGGGGATTATTATTTTATTTTATTTTATTTTATTTTATTTTTTTGTCCTTAAAGAGACAGGGTCTCACTCTGTCACCCAGGCTGTAGTGCAATGGTGCGATCATGGCTTGCTGCAGCCTTAAACTCCTGGGCTCAAGTGATCCTTGGCCCCAGCCTCCAGAGCAGCTGGGACTACAAGCACATGCCACCACACCTGGTTAATTTTTTGTAGAGACAGGATCTCACTATGCTGCCCAGGCTGGATCTCAAGCTTCCCAAAGTGCTAGGATTACAGGCATGAGCCACTGTGCCTAGCTGGGATTCATTATTCTGTGGTGGCCACTCTTTGTATCTGTTTGACGATGTCTGCACCTGATGTAGCTGACATCAGAACCATCAATGCACTTAACATCAGAGACTCCACCTAGACTGCCCGAGTTCAAAAATCCCCGTGGGTCACTTATTACCTTCTGGCAGGTCACCATCCCCTAGTCTCCTCATCCATAAATTTGGAGAACAGGAACTATCTAATAGAGTTGGTATGAGGATGCAATATGGCAAAATTGTAAAGTACTTGGAATGCTGCCTGGGGTTTATTAAATGCATGGTAAAAAACTTCCTTATTGTTTTGAGACAGGGTCTTCCTTTGTCACCCATGCTGGAGTGTAGTGGCATGACTGTGGCTCACTGCAGCCTCAGCCACCTGGACTCAAGCAGTCCTTCCACCGCTGCTTCTGCCGTGGCTGGGACCACAGACGTGTGCCACCACACCTGGCTAATGTTTAAAATTTTTGGTAGAGATGGTGTCTCCCCTGTGTTGCCTGCTGGTCTCAAACTCCTGGGCTCAAGTGGTCCTCCCACCTTGGCCTCCCAAAGTGCTGGCATTACAGGCATGAGCCACTATACCCAGCCCACTATAAACATTTGATATAAATAAATAAATGTCTGTGGGGAACAGTTTTGTAAGATATTTAAAAAGAAAGGAAAATAAAAATAATTGAAATTGGCCAGGCATGGTGGCTTATGGATGTAATCCCAGCACTTTGGGAGGCCAAGGCAGGCAAATCCCCTGAGGTCAGGAGTTCAAGACCAGTCTGCCCAACAAGGTGAAACCCTGTCTCTACTAAAATTACAAAAATTAGCCGGGTGTGGTGGCGTGTGGGGTGGCGTGTGCCTGTTATCCCAGCTACTCAGGAGGCTGTGGTTGGAGAATCACTTGAACCCGGGAGGCGGAGGTTGGAGTGAGCCGAGATCACACCATTGCACTCCAGCCTGGGTGACAGAGTGAGACTCCGCCTCAAAAATAAATAAATAAATAAATAAATAAGGAAAAATAAATGAAATCAAGTGACCTGTCCTACCTGATTCTGTTTCCTCATCTGAAAAATAGTCAGTCACCTACTTGGATGGGGCTTTGTCAGCATTAAACTAGAAGTGCTAAACAGTGTGCCTGGCAGGTAGTTCATGTTCAATGAATGTTCTGACCAACATGTTCCCTGGTCTCATACCAAACTTTCTGACTCAGCATGTCTGAGTGAGGGACCCTTGAAACTTTTTTTTTTTTTTCTGCAGACAGGATCTCGCTCTGTCGCCCAGGCTGGAGTGCAATGGTGCAGTCTTGGCTCACTGCAGCTTCTGCCTCATAGGTTCCAGCGATTCTCCTGCTTCAGCCTCCAGAGTAACTGGGATTACAGGCATGCACCACCATGACTGGCTAATTTTTGTATTTTTAGTAGAGATAGGGTTTCACCATGTTGGCCAGGCTGGTCTCAAACTCCTGGCCTCAAGTGCTCCACCTGCCTAGGCCTCCCAAAGTGTTGGGATTATAGGCGTGAGCCACCGCGCCAGGCCTGGAAACTTTTTTTTTTTTTTTTGAGACGGAGTCTTGCTCTGTTGCCCAGGCTGGAGCACAGTGGCACAATCTCGGCTCATTACAAGCTCCGCCTCCTGGGTTCACCCTATTCTGCTGCCTCAGCCTCGCAAGGAGCTGGGACTACAGGAGCCCGCTACCATGCCCAGCTAATTGTTTGTATTTTTTTTTAGTAGAGACCGGGTTTCACCGTGTTAGCCGGGATGGTCTCGATCTCCTGACCTCGTGATCCACCCGCCTCAGCCTCCCAAAGTGCTGGGATTACAGGCGTGAGCCACCGTGCCTGGCCCAGGCCTGGAAGCCATTTTTAGTAAGTTCCACCAGGATTCAGACACAGCCGAGTTTGGTCATTGTTGGTGCTGGCTTCCTTCTACCTGCCAATGTGTTACCCACAGTGTCTGAGCTGGGGATGGCATGGGGTTCAAGGGGAGCTCCAACGGTAAGCTGAATACAGAAGGTGGCTGAGGGGGGTTGAGGAGTCAGAGGTTGGTTCAGGTACAGCTGACCAGCAGTCACCTTGAGCAGGGAAGTGCGGGGCACACAGAGCAGGTTCACAGCCATGGAGAGTTTCCGGAAGAACTCAGTGGCAATGTCGCCCAGCCCAGCTCCCTGTAGCCAGTCCAAGACAAGGTCCAGGTTGGTTCGGATTTGAACAGCTCGGGACCACTGATAGAAAGGCCGGCCTTGACCTGTGGGCATTAAAGGTATGAGAGGAAGTTGGTTAGCTGGACTCTGTCCTCCTGCCTCCCAGACTGTTCCTATCCTTCAGCCTGGGATCTGGAGCTTGTTCTCCAGGGTACCCAAAGGTGAGGCTTGAGCCCGTGGTGTGTCTAATTTGACCTGAGTCTCAGTGGTTCCCATCTTTGCCTCCCTGACAGCTCCCAGCCAACCTTCACCTCTTTCCATCAGCGAGTTGAGAAGGGATGCATTGGAGAAGAAGAACAAGTAGCCAAAAGTCTGAGACACGAGGTCAGGGTGCAGCTCGCACTGGCTGGTCAGCTCCAAGGCGGCCTGGAACACGCCTAGGGTAGGTCTCAACCCTGGAGGCATGGCCTCCAGCTCCGCGCCAGGCCCCGGCAGCTCTGCCCCAGCTGTGAAAGGGTTACTATCCAGGAGAGCAGGCAGAGTTGAATACAGAGTCTGAGGAAATAGAGAAGGGGGAAACAAGTGATTGGACTACAACTCCCAGGAGACCTTGGTGGAGCTCCCCATTATCTTCATGCTCTATTACCCTGAAGCTTCCTGGGAGTTGTAGTCCATTCTACAGTCAACACCCAAAGGGTCTCCATGAGCAAATCCCTACTTGGTGGAAGGGTATATAAGTTTCTTGAGTATTTTAAGATCACCTCTTGTGCATTGTGGGACTTGTAGTTCTCAGCAGAGACAGCTCAAGGAGGACAAAGGATACTGGACAAAGAGTTCCCTTTCAGTCAAAGAATTATTCATCCCAAATTCCCCAAGGAAAGAAAAAGAATGGAGAATCAGGAAGTGGGAGTGGGATGGCAGTTTGCCAGTGGAAAGTGAGATCAGGCCAAGGACAGGAAATGAGGTCAGAAACAGAAGAAATGAAAGCACACTTGGCAGGAATGTACAGGAAGTGAAGGAGGAAAGGGCTTCACAATCTAGACTGCTAGAGGAACTTAGAGACTGATAGTCATCTGTCCCAAAAGATCCTCTCATTCTTGCAGATAGGGCATCAGGCACACCATAAGCCAGAAACCCTAAGAATGCCAAGAAGTGGTATTAGGTCAAGGGTAGTGGTGGGGAAACTGGGGCAGAAAGCAGGCCCTTCCAGGAAGGGCACTCAGAGACAAAGATCTGTGGTTCTGAAAGGGAAGTGAATTCAGAACTGTAGGAAGTGAGGTCAGCAAGCGAAGGAAGTGGGGCCTGATGAAAGAGGATCTTCAGTTTAAATCAGTTCCTGGCACTATTTGATCTCTAGCTATCTATCAATCATTTATCTATCTATTATATATAAAACTTAACAGTGACTGAAGAGTAGACTTAGAAAGTGGGAGATTCAGAAGGTGGTAATGGTGACTGTTACCAAGTAGTGAGGTCAGCCTGTCAAAAGTGGTGATTACTACTTTTTTTTTTTTTTTTTTTTTTTGAGATGGAGTCTCGCTCTGTCGCCCAGGCTGGAGTGCAGTGGTGCAATCTCAGCTCGCGGCAAACTCTGCCTCCTGGGTTCAAGCAATTCTCCTGCCTCAGTCTCCTGAGTAGCTGGGATTACAGGCACCACCGAGCTATTTTTTGTATTTTTAGTAGAAACGGGGTTTCACCATGTTGGTCAGTCTGGTCTCAAACTCCTGACCTCGTGATCTGCCCACCTTGGCCTCCCAAAGTGCTGGGATTACACGCGTGAGCCACTGCGCCTGGCTTTATTTTATTTTTTTGAGACGGAGTCTTGCTCCATCTGCCAGGCTGGAGTGCAGTGGCACGAAGTAATCTTGGCTCACTGCAACATCCGCCTCCCAGGTTCAATTGATTGTTGTGCCTCAGCCTCTCCAATAGCTGGAATTACAGGCACAGGCCACCATGCGTGGCTAATTTTGTATTTTTAGTAGAGATGGAGTTTCACCATGCTGTCCAGGCTGGTCTCAAACTCCTGACCTCAAGTGATCCACACACCTCGACCTCCCAAAGTGCTGGGATTACAGATGTGAACCACCACATTTGCCCAGGTGATGATTACAAAGGAAAAGAAGCCAGAAAGGCAGGAAGTGATGTAAGATCAAACAAGTGGTGTCAGAACAGCAAAGTCCTTGGGTGAGATGGGATGTCATGTCAGAGAAGCAGAAAATCTTGGTCAAATAGTGACATCAGAGCCACACAGTGTAGTTCAAACAAGAAGTGATGTTACCACAAACAGGAAGTGATGTTAAGTGAAACAGGAAGTGACGCTATGTCAAACAGGAAGTAAGAGGCAAGGGCCAACCTTGGTGAGGTAGTAGACAGACTGCTGGAAGGTACACATGATGACCTCATCCAGGAGGGCCATGGCCTCATCACATAATTCCAAGTCATTGCAGAGCTGTGGGTCTGAGGACAGGCTTGGGGTTAAGGGGGAGAACCAGAAGTTGGCAGCCAGGAGCCCAGGTTCCCAGGTGCAGGGCATGATGGGAGACTTGGACAAGCCTGAGCCTGGGTCAGAGCTCACCCTCTTGGTCAGCCTCCTTCTCCATTTCCAGCACCTTCTCCTGCACAAAGCTAAGCAGCTCCGTGGTGTTGGCCATCCACAGCATGAGTGGCCGCAGCTCCACAGACACAGCTTCAGGAGTCAGGGGCACCTCGGGGACCCCCTCAGGGTGGCTTGAAAAAGAGGAAGGAGTTTGTGATCCCTGCCCAACCCTCATCATAGTTTACAAGCCCCACGATATCTGAGTCTAAGTGGGAGACCAAGACCAACCCCCATGGCACAGGTGGAAAAGTTGAGTGCCAGGGAGAAGCAGAAACTTGGACTGAGACATGCATGGGGTGAACACAGAACTGGACGCAAAACCCAACCCCTGCATCCCCCCAGGCTGCTCTGCTCAGAATTTCTCTTACTTTTCTGGCTGACGGTCTCCAATTTCCTTAATCTTTTCCTGTGGAACAGTAAGATCAGAATCAAGGTGAGGGGGATCCACTGAGGGGCTTATGAGTTAATACCCTGTTTTTTCTAGAAGCACAATTCTCATAGAGACTGATCCTACTTTTCTTAGAGATGGAGTCTCACCATGTTGCCCCAGGTGGTCTCCAACTCCTGAGCTCAAATGATCCTCCTACCTTGGCCTTCCAAAGCAGTAGGATTACAGTGTGAGCCACTGCAACCGGCCGTTACTCTTCATACGGATTCTGTTTTTCTTTTTTTGCGATGGAGTTTCCCTGTTGTTGCCCAGGCTGGGGTGCAATGGCTTAATTTCGGCTCACTGTAACCTCTGCGTCCCAGGTTCAAGCGATTCTCCTGCCTCAGCCTCCCAAGTAGCTGGGATTACAGACATGTGCCACCACGCCCGGCTAATTTTTTGTATTTTTAATAGAGACAGGGTTTCACCATGTTAACCAGGATGGTCTCGATCTCCCAACTTCAGGTGATCTGCCCACTTCGGCCTCCCATAGTGGTGGGATTACAGGCATGAGCCACGACGCCCAGCTCTTCAGACAAATTCTAATCCCACAAGCTTTAGAATGGTCTCTCCTTACTTTTTAAAACACACACACACTATGATTATGAGTGGTGTAGCTCCTTCAGGTCCTCTTCTCCAATTTTTACCCTCAAGAAACTCCTTAAACCTCTCTGGTTAGGCCCTAGCTCAATAGGATGGAACGTTCCCCCACTCTGAATGGTTTCTTTCTGGAACTTCCATCTGTAGGTCCAGTGGCTTTGTGCTTCCTCGCCTCCAAGAATGAATTTGCTCACTACTATCCAAACTCCAAGCCCAATGGGCTGTAGTGAATTCTCACATTGACCTCTCCCAACTTCTCATCCAGTGGGATCTCTCCCCCATCATCTCCCATAATGGCTTCTTCCTAAGGTGAGTTCGTGCTTAGGTGAGTTCTCCTAAGGCGAGTTTGGGCTTCCCTTTAAGTGCAGTGGATCTACAACTCCCAGCGTTCTATGGGGGGCCCCTATTTAATAACCCCAAAACGCTGGGTGTGGTGCCTCATACCTGTAATCCCAGCGCTTTGGGAGGCCGAGGCGGGCGAACCACGAGGTCAGGAGTTCCAGACAAGCCTGGCCAACATGGTGAAACCCCGGCTCTTCTAAAAATACAAAAAATTAGCCGGGCGTGCTGGCAGGCACCTGTAATCCCAGCTACTCGGGAGGCTGAGGCAGGAGAATCATTTGAACCCAGGAGGCGGAGGTTGCAGTGAGCCAAGATCGCCACTGCACTCCAACCTGGGCAACAGAGCGAGACTCCGTCTCAAAAACAAAAAAAAACCCCAAATCCTTCCTGAGGCATCATGGGAACAGTGGTTTCATCCAGCCCAGCTATGAAAAGGGTTGAAGGTGGGGAGGGGAGGCTGGAGGAGGGACTTGGGGCGCTGGTGCGACTGGATGGGGATTGGGGGGCGCTCACCCAGACGGCCTCCTTGATGAGCCGGGCCAGGCGACCCAGCAGTCGCGGCAGGTGGCCCAACTCCAGCTCACGGGCGGAATGCTGCACGCACAGCGCCAGCAGCGTGGCGGGCCCGAGGGGCGGCAGGTCCCCCGCACCAGTGGCTGCGGCGCGCACGATCTCGCCCAGCAGCGCCTCCTCCTCGCGCGGCCGGAAGCGCAGGACTGGCTCACGGCCATCCAGGTAAGCGGCCAGTGCCTCGCCGCGCTCCTGCAGGCCGCGGCCGCACAGGCGACAGGAGAAGGCCCAGCCAGGGCCCGGCGGCGGGGCCCCGGGGCGCGCAGGCAGCCAAGGCGGCCTCGCTGGCCCCGAGCCCCCAGTGCGGGGATCCTTGTACATGAACAAGAAGTGCTCGCCCAGCCCCAGGAGGTCGCCCGGGTGCAGCTCGGCCTCCCGCAGCAGGAGGCACCCGTTGTGCGTGACTGGGGCGCCCCGGGACGGGCGCACCATGGCCGGGTGCTCAGGGCCCGCGCGCACTGTGCAGTGACGGGGCAGGATGTCCGGGGCGTTGAGGAAGGTGTCCACATAGGGAGGCGGGGACCCGCCGCGGCCCGACGAGTTCCCACCTCGACCAAACACGTGCTGCTCTCGCATCATCACATACACCACAAAGTCCTGGAGGGGAAACGAGGATGCACTAAGGACATCACTTCCATACAGATCTTCAGATCTGTTTTCTACAACAACTCTCCTGTTCTCACCAACTTTGTTTTTCTTCTCTTTTTCTTTTTTCTTTCTTTTTTTTTTTTTTTTTGAGATGGAGTCTGGCTCTGTCCTCCAGGCTGGAGTGCAGTGGCACGATCTCGGCTTACTGCAACCTCTGCCTCCTGAGTTCAAGCAATTCTCCTGCCTCAGTCTCTTGAGTAGCTGGGATTACAGGCACCCGACACCACACCCGGCTAATTTTTGTATTTTTAGTAGAGAAAGGGTTTCACCATGTTGGCCAGGCTGGTCTGGAACTCCTGATCTCAGGTGATCCAGCTACCTCAGCCTTCCAAAGTGCTGGGATTACAGGCGTGAGCCACCGCGCCCGACCCCCCCCCCTCCCCGACTTTGAATGAACACTCCAAGGAGATCTGGGATCTCAAAGGACTGTCTAAGCACCCCCACCGCCACTGAGTGGACTCTTCTAGGCACTTTGTGTGGTGGATGGTCCCATAACACCCCTCCCAAAGACCGGCTATGTACAAGGAGACCCCTCCTTTTTTTTTTTTTTTTGAGACGGAGTCTCACTCTGTGGCCCAGGCTGGAGTGCAGTGGCATGATCTCCACTCACTGCAAGCTCCGCCACCTCTGGGGTTCACGCCATTCTCCTGCCTCAGCCTCCCGAGTAGCTGGGACTACAGGCGCCCGCCACCTCGCCCGGCTAATTTTTTTGTATTTTTGGTAGAGATGGGGTTTCACCGTGTTCGGTGAACATGGTCTCCATCTCATGATCCGCCCGCCTCGGCCTCCCAAAGTGCTGGGATTACAGGCTTGAGCCACCGCGTCCGGACTTTTTTTTTTTTTTTTTTTTTTTTTTTTGAGACAGAGTCTCCCTCTGTTGCCAGGCTGGAGTGCCGTGGCACCATCTCAGCTCACTCCCACCTCCGCCTCCCGGGTTCAAGCGATTCTCTTGCCTCAGCCTCCCGAATAGTTGAGACTACAGGTACACACCACCACGCCCAGCTGATTTTTGTATTTTTAGTAGGGACAGGGTTTCACCATGTTGGCCAGGATGGTCTCGCTCTCTTGACCTTGTGATCCGCCCGCCTCGGCCTCCTAAAGTGCTGCGACTACAGGCGTGAGCCACCGCGCCTGGTCAGAGACCCATTTCTTAACGTGGGCTCTACCATTTCTTTCCCTCAAGCATTAGATGCGTCCAAGGAGATCCCCATTTCTAAAATGAACTGTCCAACTACACTCACCCTCAAAGAATGGACCTTTCCAAGGAAATCTCCTTTTCCCCATCCCTGGTCCCACCTGTCCATTATTTCACCCCCACCCCACCATGATAAAGGCTTCCAGATATATTTCCCCTTCCAATAATAGTTTCTCTCAATATTCCTAAAGCAATGAATGGATACTTGTAAAGAGATTCCCTTGGACCAGGCATAGTGGCTGATGCCTGTAATCCCAGTACTTTGAGAGGTGGAGGCAGGTGAATCACCTGAGGTCAAGAGTTCGAGACCAGACATGATGAAACCTGTCTCTACTAAAAATACAAAAATTAGGCATGGTGGTGCATGACTGTAATCCCAGCTACTTGGGAGGCTGAGGCACAAGAATCGCTTGAACCCAGGAGGTGGAGGTTGCAATGAGCCGAGATCACGCTACTGCACCCTAGCCTGGGCAACAGAGTGAGACTCAAAAAAAAGAGGCTGGGCGCAGTGGAGGCCAAGGCAGGCAGATCACCTGAGGTAGGGAGTTCGAGATCAGCCTGGCCAACATGGAGAAACCCTGTCTCTACTAAAAATATAAAATTAGCCGGGTGTGGTGGTGCGTGCCTGTAATCCCAGCTACTCGGGAGGCTGAGGCAGGACAATCACTTGAACCTGGGAGGTGGAGGTTGCAGGGAGCCGAGATCATGCCATTGTACTCTAGCCTGGGCAAAAAGAGTGAAATTCTGTCTCAAAAAAAGAGAGAGAGAGAGAGGTTCCCTTGGAACAAAAGTTTCCTCCAATTTCTTCTCCCCCTGAGTACGCACGTCTAAGGAGATCCCCTTTCTACAGTGGACTTACTCATTTCCCACACCATGATGATCTCACTTCCAAAGAGACATACTCCTACAATGGACTCACCTATTACTCCCAGTCCCCTGATGGAGGAGTTCAAAGAAATAGTCCCTCTTCCATCAATGGATGTTCTCAATATTCCAATCCCCAAAAAGGGCATCTCCAAAAAGATCTCCATATAGTGGGCTCTTCTGGTAACTCCACGTATAAATAAATGTCTTCACGGACAACCTCTTCTTACCAGAGTGTTCCATCTCATTTACCAAATGAAGACAGGCATTCCAGAAGACCTCGTCCTAAAAAATGGACTCTCATCTCCCTTCCATAAATATAGAACCACTCAATTTGACTGCCTTCCGTTCACCCACCATGTCTGAGACAACAGGCATCATGATATGCATAGATCCCCCTTGTACACTAAATTCTACCATTACCCCTACCCCATGAATGGATGTTTCCAAAAGACTCCTACCTCCTAAAGATTTGCTCATCTATCCTTGTAGAAAAATGGGCCTTTCCAGTCTTACCACTTCTGAGGGTGGAATCTCCTGTTCCTCATTCCTGTCTGAAGGAATGGGAGATCCAAAATAATAAGCCCCCTTTCTACAGTGGGCTCTCCTGCTCCCTCGCCCAGGAAGGGATGCTTTCGCAGCACCTACAATGAACTCTCACATCACAGCCACTCCATGAATCGACAAACCCAGATGAATTCCTACAATAGATTCACCTGGTATTCCTGCCTCCAAGGAGTGAACAATTCCAATGAGCCTTTTTTTTTTTTTTTTTTTTTTTTTTTTGAGACAGGGTCTCTCACTCTGTCATCCAGGCTAGAGTGCAGTGGCATTATCTTGGTTCACTGCAGCCTTCACCTCCTGGACTCAAGTGATCCTCCTGCCTCTCGAGTAGCTAGAATTACAGGCATACACCACCACGCCTGGCTAATTTTTGTTTTGTTTTTTTTTTTTGAGATGGAGTCTCACTCTGTCACCCAGGCTGGAGTACAGTGGAGCAATCTCGGCTCACTGCAAGCTCCGCCTCCCGGGTTCACACCATTCTTCTGCCTCAGCCTCCTGAGTAGCTGGGACTACAGGTGCCCGCCACCACGCCCAGCTAATTTTTGTGTTTTTAGTAGAGATGGAGTTTCACCATGTTAGCCAGAATGGTCTCGATCTCCTGACCTCATGATCCGCCCGCCTCAGCCTCCCAAAATGCTGGGATTACAGGCGTGAGCCACTGCCCGGCCTGTTTTTCGTTTTTTATACAGATGAGGTCTCACTATGTTGCCCAGGCTTACTTTGAACTGCCACCTGGAAGAACATGTCCTTCCAATTTGACCACCTTCCCAAAAGAGACCCTTGTGTTCTCCAGCCTTGTCCAGAGGAACAGCTGTTACAGTATATACAATCCTTTTACTACAGTGAGCTCTCCCCATCTCCTTGCCCCCACAAGGAGGAATGAATTTCTCCATGCAATCCCTTTCCTGAAGAGAGTCTTACCTCTCACCCACATACACAGTCAAGCTGCCTAACCCAATTGGATCTTTCTGTGACCGTAAAAATGGAACTGTCGAATAAGCTATACCACCTTCTTTTTGTTTTTCATTTTCTATAGAGACAAGATTTTGCCATTGGTCGCAGCTATACTTGTTTAGCTTGGCTGTACCATTATTAACCATCAGTTGGCCACACCATAAGGATAATTCCCCCATCACTGCACATAAATGAATATTTATGTGAAATGAATATATATAAATAACACATTACTCACTCTCCCTGCTGGAGTGCAGTGGTGTGATAACAGCTTACTGCAGCCTAGACCTCCCTGGGCTCAGGGCATCCTTCTGCCTCAGCCTCCTGAGTAGCTGAGACTACAGATAGGTGCCACTACACCTGGGTAATTTTTTGTCCTTTTTTATAGAGATGAGATTTCACTGTTGCCCAGGCTGGTCCCAAACTTCTGGGCTCAAGTGATCCTCCTGCTTCGGCTTCCTAAAGTGCTGGGATTACAGGAGTGAGCCACTGTGCCCAGACAACACATTAAATTTCTATTAATGCAGTAACTTCCTATTGATCCTCAACCACCAATCCTTTCTTCCTCTTTTGTACCAATCAAGTTCTGTTGGTACCCAGCTATGTAAAATAGATAGAAGGATCAATACCACCTGCCTCTATCCATAGTGGTCAAATTGTTCCAATGTAAAGCATCACCTTCTAAAAATGGGTCAGTGCTGGCTGGGCACAGTGGCTCACGCCTATAATCCCAGCACTTTGGGAAGCCGAGGCAGGTGGATCACTTGAGGTCAGGGGTTCAGAAACCAGCCCGACCAACATGGCGACACCCTGTCTCTACTAAAAATGCAAAATTTAGCTGGGCATCATGGCAGGTGCCTATAATCCCACCTACCTAGGAGGCCGAGGCAGGGGAATTGCTTGAACCTGGGAGGCGGAGGTTGTAGTGAGCCAAGATCACGCCACTGCAGTCCGGCCTGGGTGATAGAGAATCCATCTCAAAAAAAAATAAAAATAAAAAAAATAAAAAAAAATGGCGGGGGGGTCAGTGCACTCCTACCAAGAAAACACAGGCTTGTCCAGAACATGATCCCAGGCACCAAATGACTTCCCTGCCCTAGAAGGTGGACTCCCCTGTTACTCCCTCTCAAGAAACGGATTCAAGAAATAGATATTTCCAAGGGGATCTCCTTTCTTTTAAAAAAATTTTTTATTTAAAAAAAATTTTTATTTAAAAAAAATTTATTTTGGAGACAGGGGCCTTTGTGTGTAGCCCAGGCTGGTGATGGTACAGTGGTGCCATCATAGCTCAATGAAGCCTCAACTTCCTGAGCTCAAGAGATCCTCCTGCCTCAGCCTCCTGAGTAGCTGGGACCACAAGCACATACCATCATGCCTGGCTTTTTTTTTTTTTTTTTTGAGAGGGAGTCTTGCTCTGTCACCCTGGCTGGGGTGCAGTGGCACAATCTCGGCTCACCACAACCTCTGCCTCCCGGGTTCAAACGATTCTCCTGCCTCAGCCTCCTGAGTAGCTGGGATTACAGGCACCCGCCACCACACCCGGCTAATTTTGTATTTTTAGTAAAGATGGGATTTCTCCATGTTGGTCAGGCTGGTCTCGAACTCCTGACCTCAGGTGATCCACCCGCCAAGGCCTCCCAAAGTGCTGGGATTACAGGCCTGAGCCACTGCGCCAGGCCTAATTTTTGGTAGAGACAGGATCTCACTATGTTGTCCAGGTTGGTCTCAAACTTCTGGCCTCAAGCAATTCTTCCACCTTGGCCTCCCAAAGTGCTGGGATTATGGGAGTGAACCGCACACCCAGCGGGGATCTTCTTTCTACAATGGAATCTCCTTAATGAAGACAGTGCTTTCCTCCAACTTTGAATAAAGTGAACTCTTTCCTATTGCTTACTCCAATGGACTCTTTCTCCGTCATCTACTCTCCATCTCCTGTAAATCTCACCTGTGAATCTCTACTCTGGAACCTTGAGGGACCACGCCCCACTAGAGTACCAGAGGCTAGTGCGCCCCAGGGCATTCTAGGAGTTGTAGTTCTGTTGCTCACCCACCAACAGGTGGGGTATAGGGCTCTGGGCCTGCGGGGCTGGGGTGGCGCTTACCTGGGCATCCTGGTAGCCCTGGAGCAGCAGGAAGTAGGGGTGGTTGCTAGGGGCCTGGATGAGGCATTGAGTCAACTGATCGAAGTCCCCGGGGTCTGCAGGTCCGATTTGGGCGTCGGCTGCCCCTGGGGCCATGCTAAGTGCCTGCTGTCTCCGCTCCTGCTGCCGCCGCCGCCGCCCCTGAAGGCTAAGCTCCGACACGCTGCGCCGCAAGGACAAGTTTTCCGAGCGCTCCTTGCCTCCAGACCCAGCTGGGGCCCCCGATCCCGTCACCTGGCCAGGACTGGCCAGCGCCGCCCCGCCCGACGCCGCCCGGGAGCGGTTCTTCTGTGGCCGCCACGAAGGGGCGCCCGTGCCTGCCGAGAGATGGAGAACAGTGAGGCTGAGCCTGGAAAGACAGGGACAGACACAGAGTTGCAGATGATGAGACAAATAACTGGTTGCAGAGAGGTGATGCTGCTTCCCACATTTAGGATTTAGGCTTTTGGGTATTCTGTTCCCTGTGCCTGGAACACCCTTCTCTCCTGATTAATACCCATCTTGCAGTTTTCAGCTCAGGAATTTCATTCATTCTTTTCCATTGAATCATTTGTTCTTTTTTTTTTTTTTTTCTATACAGAGTCTCGCTCTGTCACCCAGGCTGGAGTGCAGTGGCATGATCTCGGCTGACTGCAACCTCTGCCTCCCAGGTTCAAGCAATTCTCCTGCCTCAGCCTCCGGAGTAGCTGGGATTACAGGTACGCATCACAATACCCGGTTAATTTTTGTATTTTTAGTATAGATGGGGTTTCACCATGTTGGCCAGGCTGGTCTCAAACTGGCTGGTCTTGAACTCCTGACCTTGTGATCTGCCCGTCTCGGCCTCCCAAAGTGCTGGGATTACAGGCATGAGCCACAGCACCCAGCCCATTTGTTCTTTTAACAAGTATTTACTGAGTACCTACTACATGCTTAGGACTGTCAAGTCTCTGGGTAACAGAAAAGACCCTGCCCTCCAGGAGATTGAAACCACCTCTTCCTAAACACCCATCCCTGACAGTCCAAGTTGAAGCAGGTGACTGCACCACCGGGTACTCTGGGCTTTTTCTGGACCCAGCAAGAACCCTGGCACACAGTAGGCACCGAGTGGAAATGAGCTGAATGAATGGACTAATGTGTTTCCCACTAGGCTTGTGAGATATGGGAGTTGGAAACCTCATCTGTTAATGTCGCCAGTGTATTCCCCAGTGCCCTGAAAACTGTGTGGCCAGGCCGGGTGCGGTGACTCATACTTGTAATCCCAGCACTTTGGGAGGCTGAGGTGGGTGGATCACTTGAGGTCAGGAGTTCAAGACCAGCCTGGCCAACATGGCAAAACCCCATCTCTACTCAAAATACAAAAAATTAGCCAGGTGTGGTAGTGGGCGCCTGTCATCCCAGCTATTCGGGAGGCTGAGGCAGGAGAATTGCTTGAACCGGGAGGTGGAGGTCGCAGCGAGCCATGATCGTGCCACTGCACTCCAGCCTGGGCAACACAGCAAGACTCCATCTCAAAAAAAAAAAAAAAAAAAAAGGAAAATGTGTGGCCTACACCAGGTGCTCAATGGATATTTTGTCCGTGGAGGGGTGGAGACAATGATTATTATCATCATTCTTTATTAAGCACCTACTCTGTACCAAGCCCTGTGCTAGGCCCTTTATATACATTGAATATATTATCCCATTGAATCTTCACCTAGGATTTTACTGAGATTAACTGTCACAGAATGGGTTGGAATCCAAACCCCAGTTCCAAGCCCATCAGTTTAACTGCGATAACATTCTATCTCCCAAAGGGAGGCTCAGATACAGAAAAGCGTTTAGAAGGCTCCCTGAGCAGACTCATGCTCTCAATGCGCCAGGCCCCACCCCTGCCAGGCGTGGTCAGCACCAGCTATTTCACCATTGACTCTACCTTCTGTTCCAGCCCTGGCCTTCTCTGAGGTCAAGGCCTTCCTTCGCCTCTACAATGACATCTTCCTCCAGCCCTTTCCTTTCCCATCTGATCCCACTTGGCAGTCAACCCAGCCTAAGGCCGTCTTATCCAAGGCCTGCCCCTCAGAGGCTCCGCCCATCTTAGCCCCCGCAGGCCTGATCTAGGAACCTGTATTCACTCACGCAGGTGTCGCCCCTTCTATGCTCCACCCACATAGGCCCTGCTCAATAACCACCTCAACCTACTTGGCAGAGCTGCCTCCTACCACAGAGACCCATGCGCACTACATGCCACCAGTCCTCGCGCGACTTAACACTTTGTGCGCCAGGCCACGCTTTTCCACAAGCCCCGCCCCACCACAGGCCCCGCCCATCTGCTCTGCATCGCTCCCGAGAACATTGTTCAGGCTTACTCCTCCGGCTCCTAGGTCTCTCCAGCTCCTTTTTCTTTTTCTGGAGGACAGTTTTTTTTGTCTTTCGTTTTTTGTCTTTTTGAGGAAGTCTCTCTCTGTCCCCCAGGCTGTTGTACAGTGGCGCGATCTCGGCTCACTACAGCCTCTGCCTCCCGGGTTCAAATGATTCTCATGTCTCAGCCTCCCGAGTAGCTGGGATTACAGGCATGCGCCACCACGCTTGGCTAATTTTTGTATTTTTAGAAGAGACAGGGTTTCACCATGTTGGCCCGGCTGGTCTCGAACTCCCGACCTCAGGTGATCCCGCCCGCCTCAGCCTCTCAAAGTGCTAGGATTACAGGCGTGAGCCACCACGCCCGGCCAGGACTAGTTCTTTAATTCAAAAAGACCCTTGTCAATATTCAGTATCAAAACAGTTGCGCTATTGATTTCACTTTCTCCCAATTGGCCCCAAGAAACCACATCAAAGAAGAATACATTTTAAGCCACTAAGCTGCAGGATGTACACCTAACAGACCTCGCAGAAACCCTACCAGAAAGTGGGGATTGGGTAGAGAAAGAAACTTTCAAAGGTCAGCAAATTGTTAGTGTCCTCTAACCTACCACACAGGGCGAATCCCTCAGGTCCCTGCGGACTCCTGCCCATTCCACAAACGCTCCTCAGGATCTACTACTCCGCAGACCCCGCTACACACCCCACCTCCTCCAAGGCAGTCTGAAATACCTGCAGAAGGCCCTAACCCCAATTCGGAACCACTTCAGGCCACTCCAAGCCACCACCAGCAACCAGCCCCCGCCCCGCCCCAGCCCCCGCCCCGCCTCAGACCCAGCCTCGGCCCCCGTAAAACTCCTGCTCAATCAACAAGCCCCACCCAACTCTCAGGCCCGCCCATCTGGCCGCCCCCGGCCCTGCTCTAGCTCTCCCTTCCACCTGCTAGAGTCCTACACGTACCGTCCAGTCCCCTCCCGCGGGCCCCGCCCCCAGCCAGCCCGCGGGTCCCACAAGCCCCGCCCAGGCCCCGCCCCACGGACCCCGCCTCTCTGGCCCCGAGTGCCCGCCCCAGAGCCCCGCCCGCAGCTCACCTTCGCCGTCTGCAGCCCCGAAGGCCTCCTGCTCCAGGCGCCGCGCCTCCTCGCGGCCGCGCAGCTCGAAGCGCCGCGCCCAGCCGGGCCGCGCCCGCCACAGCTCCTGCACCAGCAGCGGGCGCTCTGAGTCGCCCAGCACGCGCAGGTGCTCCGCCCGCCACTCGCCGCTTCCCACGCCCGCCGCCGCGGGCCGGCCCAGTGCGTCGCACAGAGCGAAGGCGTCCACGCAGCTGCTCTCGCCCGGGCCGCCACCGGGGCTGCCGGCCAGGCCGTAGCGCTCTAGAGCCTCGGCCACGAGCTCGCGCGCCGTGGAGCGCGCCGTGGCCAGCACGCTCTTGTAGTTGGCGCCCGATGCCAGTCCGGCGCCGAAGATCTTGAGGACCCCCGGGGGCGCCGAGGCGCGGGTGGCCAGCGGGGGCTCGGGGGCCACGCCCGCCGCCAGCTCCGGCAGCTTCTTCTCGCTGGCCCAGCGCTGCGCACCCCCCGGGGTCCCAGGGCCTCCTGCGCCGCCGGACCCCGAGGTCCCGGTCCCCGAGCCCCGGAAGAGCTGGGAGATGCGCTTGGCGCGACTACCGGAGGCTCCCCCGGCCGCCTTGACAGCGCCCACTCGCCGCAGCTCCACGTGCGGCGGGGGCGGAGGTAGCGGCTCGCTGCTACGGCTCCCCGTGTCCGACGAAGAAGACCTGGGAGTCCGCCGGGGAACAGAGTCGCGGGAGAGAGACCCAGAACAACACGCCAAGACGGGGGTGGAGGACAGATTAGGAGGGAAGTGAACAGAGACCCAGAGAGAGGACAGGGATCCAGGGTGGATGGACGGGGCGGGGGTGAGGGTTGGCACAGAGACGCGAGGCAAAGAGAGAGAAAATAAATAAATAAATAAATAAATAAATAAATAAATAAATAAAGGCAAGTCCCACAGAAGGAAATTCCAAGAGGTGAGCAGAGAGGGGAGGAAGGAAGGTGAATCAATCCCCCTGCTCTTTCTGTCCTCATCCCGGTGCCGATCTGGCCTCACTCCACCTCCTGCCTGGCCTAGCTCTTACTCCCACAGCGCCCTGGTATCGCTGCGCCCCACCGTCTCGCCCTGCCCACAAGCTCGCTTGCCCAATTCAGGATGAGGACCGGAGCCAACCCTTTGCAGGGACTGGGCCGTGAACAGGGACAGATGGGAGGCAGGTGTGCAGGGCCAGGAGTCCTGCAGAGATGGCACTCACTTGACAGAGGCTGCGCTGGGCCAGCGCCGCCCCAGCTTCGCCAGCTGCTTCCTGGGGGAATTGATCCACAGGCCCACGGGGAGATGAAGCTTCCCGAAGCGGGGGCTTCCGCCCTCCTTCCGTTCACCAGATAGCATGGCCCTAAGGGAAGGCGAGGAAGGCCTCAACTCCTAAGGCACTCTTGTGGGAATGGGGTGGAGGGAACCTGGACTCTGAGTCAGCGGGAGGAGGGGGCTGGGGCTCAGACTTGCGAGCCCAGAGGGAGGAGAGGGATGGTACCCTGGATTCCTGGGTCCTGGGATGGAAGATGGCTGGGGGACTGAGTCTTGGGTCCCAGGGAGGAGGGTTTGGGCCGCTGGGTCCCTGGCTCTTACCCTGCTTCGGGTCCGGCACACCCGGAGGCCCTGGCTCCACTGGCCTGGGTCAGTTCCACTGCTCTTGCCTCTGCCACGGCTCCCAGCACTGGGTGGGGGACAGGAAAAGGCAAGAGGAAACCCGGCAGGAAGAGCGGGGAGGGGGCGTCCTGTGAGGAGACCAGGCCTGGGGGAGGAGATCTGGGGAGGGTTGGCCCTGCCCCATTCCTTGATTCTGGAATTACGTCGCAGCCAGATGGCCCCCTCCACGACCCAAGGGTCCAGGTTTCCCGCCCTTCTTCCCTCAGGCCGGAGCCCATCCCCAGACCTCTGCTCTCGTGGAACCAAAGGCTAGGATCAGCCCCGTCCAGGGGAGTGAGTCAGATGCTTAGACAACAAGATAAATCTTTATTGGTGCCTCGAATCTGTGGCTTTTTCTTTTGGGACCTGGGGTTGCTCGGCCACTCCACTGCCAAGGCCAAACAGTGAGGACTTGATGAAATCGATCACCTTCCTTCGACAAAATATCCTACGGGTGGGAGTGGGGTGCAGATCATGGAACCGGGTTGGGTAGTAATTGTGTGGGGGACACCCCTCCCAACCACCCCCTGTGTGACTTTATTCTAGCAATTATCTAAGCCTCGCCCTTCGAAGTCCTCCTATGCAAGCCCCCCGCACTCCACCCCCCAGGAAAGTCCTCCTCAGTAGCCCCCAGCCCAGCTTCTTCGTTGGGTTCCTGGAAGCCCCGCCCCTTACTCCAAGCCTAGCCAGCCTTCTTCAACGGGTTGCTCACGCAAAGGTAATGCCGGTTATCAGTGCTAGGGAGCCCCAGATCAGCAGCCCCAGAAGGCGGCCTTTCAGCATTTTCTCGGGCTTCAGAGGCTGGAGGGTATTGGACGACTCCGTGGTCGCCTCCCCCGGGGTTACGATATTTGGGGACGGTTTTTCCTCCTCGACCCTTTTGGGCAACACTGTTAGAGAAAGTGCAAAGAGCAGTCCTGGCAGGGCGTGGAGTTCCTGCCCTGGCAAAGGCAAGCCCGTCCCGGTAGCCTGCCATCCTAGAGATAATCACGCCTTCAACAGTGTAAAGCCTGAACACACCCAAGGGAACGCCTGTCCTCGGGGTCAGAGGCCACGCCCCCGGCGGGAAGCCACACCCCTTGCCCTGAAACCACACCCAACAGGAAGTCACGCCCCCATCGCCGAGGCCACGCCCCCGCCGCGGACCCTAGCTTTCCTGGGCCCTGAATCCTACACTTCTCTCAACCCCACAGCACTGACCTGTGACGCGAAAATTGATGACCGTGGCTGGGCTGGAATTCACAGAGCCCAGCTCGCAGCGGTAGCTGCCTGCATCCTCTGGACCCACCATGGACTTGGTCAGGGTGGGCTCTTTCCCCTTGGACACCAAGGTCTCCGTATTGTTCCCCCAAACCTAGACCCAAGCTCAAGGGGTCACTGAGGCCTGAGGAATTCAGGGGTTGGGGGAGTACCGGGTTGAGAAGATCACAGGGCCTCAGTGTGGGAGGTGGGTGTCCAGGGTGTCACTGGTCGGGGCACGGGGTCCCCAGAGGTCAGTAGAGACCACACCTAATAGACCACCCGCCTGGGTCATGAGAATCGTGGGTGCAGGCCCACAGATCCGGTACACAAGTATTGTAGTCTAGGGAGTTCAAGGGTTACAGAAGTTGAGGCCCTCACCCTGTAAAAGCTGTAATCAGTGAGGCCTTCAGAAGCCTGATGCCAGTTTAACTCACAGTCCAGGATCATATCTTCCATTTGAGGAACCTCCACATTGCGCTCTGGGGGTGGAGGAAGACCATGGGACACTCTTTCACGGTTCTGTTTGTTGGTTTGTTTGTTTGTTTGTTTTTGAGATGGAATCTTGCTCTGTCTCCCAGGCTGGAGTACAGTGGCCTGATCTCCGCTCACTGCAACCTCCGCTTCCCGGGTTCAAGCGATTCTCTTGCCTAAGCCTCCTGAGTATCTGGGACTACGGGCGCATGCCACCACGCCCGGCTAAGTTTTGTATTTTTAGTAGAGACGGGGTTTCACCATTTTGGCTAGGCTGGTCTCGAACTCCTAACCTCAGGCGATCTGTCTGCCTCAGCCTCCCAAAGTGCTGGGATTACAGGCATGAGCCACTGCGCCCAGCCTCCTTCACGCTTCTTTACCCTCCCCTAATCCTTTTACATTTGTTGTAACCCTGTCTTTTCTTTTCTTTCTCGCTCGCTCTCTATTTATTTATTTATTTTTAGACGAAGTCTCATTCTGTCACCCAGGCTGGAGTGCAGTGGCGCCATCTTGGCTCACTGCAACCTTCACCTCCCAAGTTCAAGCAATTCTCTGCCTCAGCCTCCCGAGTAGCTGGGATTACAGGTGCCTGCCACCATGTCTGACTACTTTTTTTGTATTTTTAGTACCAAAACGATGGTTTCACCATCTTGGCCAGGCTGGTCTTGAACTCCTGACCTCGTGATTCACCTGCCTCGGCCTCCCAAAGTGCTAGGATTACAGGTATGAGCCAGCTCGCACGCCTCTTTTTTTTTTTTTTTTTGACAAGTTCTCACTCTTTTGCCCGGGCTGGAGTGCAGTGGTATGATCGTAGCTCACTGCAGTCTCCAACTCCTGGGTCCAGGCAATCCTCCTGCCTCAGCCTTCCAAGTATCTGGGACTACAGGCACACACCACCACACCTGGCTGATTTTTAAATTTTTTTGTAGAGATGGGGTCTCGCTATGTTGCCCAGGCTGGTCTCAAACTCCTGGCTTCCCGATCCTCCCGTCTCAGCCTCTCAAAGTGCCAGGATTATAGGTATGAGCCACTGTACCCAGCCTAAACCCTGCCTTTTCTTGTCTACTGCCCCCACACCCCTGTCTAAACTCTCTCTAGTCTGTCTCTCCTATCACCCCACCCCACCTGCACCAGTTCCTCCTGCTGGGTACAGTTCTCTCACCCCCGCAATCGTAGGACTTTCGACAAGCGTGAACCTCCTTTTTGCAGTTCTTGCACCAGATCAGAGTTTGCAACATCACACCTGGAGGGGCAGAGTCAAGGCTTGTATTTGCCCACTAAGGGGCATGGCTAAAAGGAGAGGTCAGGGCCAAGGGGTGGGGCCAGGTCATCTACGACATTCCTAGATGGTCAGAGGAAGGGACAGGACCAGGACGCAGGTGGGTAGGAAGTGGACTCCAACAAGGCTCAGTAAAGAGTGTAAGTAAAGGCCGGGCGTGGTGGCTTACTCCTGTAATCCCAGCACTTTGGGAGGCTGAGGTGGGCAGATCACAAGGTCAGGAGTTCAAGACCAGCCTGACCACCATGGTGAAACCCTGTCTCTACTAAAAATACAAAAATTAGCTGGGTGTGGTGGCCAGCGCCTGTAATCCCAGCTACTCAGGGAGGCTGAGGCAGGAGAATAGTTTGAACCTGGGAGGCGGAGGTTGCAGTGAGCCGTGATCGCACCACTGCACTCCAGCCTGGGCGACAGGGTTTTTTAAAAAAAAAAAGAGTGTAAGTAGAATATGACCTGCTCCCCAGGAAATCCAAGGTGGAAAAAGAATACTGGAGACCCAGGAACCTCTCCAAGGCGGAGAATGACAAAACCACCAGGATCCAAAAAGGCGAGTGGGGAAGCTGACTATTTAGAGGGCAGGATGAGGAATAGAGGGTTAACTTCTGTAATCCAGACTCACCACATTTGTTGGGACAATAAGCTGTGTCAAAAGAGAAAAAAAGAGAGAAAGAGATGACAGAGTCAGATTTCTAAATGAAAGATGATGGAAGAGGGGGTTTGGGGAAGAGCTGGGCTTTGGGCTCTTGGGTTTGAGGGAGAAAAGACTTGGGTCTGAAGGAGGAGGCAGTTGGAGAAGCTGAGGAACTGGGCTTGGAGAAGTAAGGGGCTGGAGACAGGGACTCTTGGATAGTGGAAAGAGGAGCTGGGGGACACAGACTCCCATTTTCTCTCACCCTCTTTTTGGAATCGAGCAACATAGGTGGCAAAGGTTTCCTTTTGCAAGTGCAACATCCAAAATAGCTCCTTCACGAAGAGATCACCTGGGAAGACACAGGAACCCCCCCAATCCCACGTGTGAGGTGCTGGAAGTTTACTTCTGCCTGCAGAGCTGGCAGTTTACTTCCTGGCCTTGTCAGGAAAGGGCACTAAAATTGACCGTCTAACATAATGCCAGCCGCTGGGCTAAGCAATGCATATTTTGGGGGATGGGGGAGGGTCTTACTCTGCCACCCAGGCTGGAGTGCAGTGGTGCAATCATGGCTCACTGCAGCCTCAACCTCCTGGACTCAAGCAATCCTCCCGCCTCAACCCCCCAGGTAGCTAGGACTACAGGCACACACCACCATGCCCAGGTTATATATATATGTATATATATATTGTATTTTTTGTAGAGACAAGGTTTCACCATGTTGGCCAGGCTGGTCTTGAACTACTGAGCTCAAGCAATCTGTCTGCCTCAGCCTCCCAAAGTGCCGGGATTATAGGCATGAGCTACCCATGCCCGGCCAGCAATACACATTTAAACTGAACAACTGAGGGAGCATTTTAGAGCCAAGGGAGCTTCCAAGTCCTTTGCTCAAGGCCATACAGCTAGGAAGTGGCAGAGCAGGCATTTGAACCTAGGCAGTCTGGCCCCACAGCCTAGTATCTGGCCAAGAGACCAGGCAGCACTAATGCTGGCTTCCCTGAGAGATTCTGGACCCCTACTCCCTTGGTGCATTTACCTTTTACATCACTGTCTGTGATGCGTTTCAGATCCTTCAGCAAACTCCAGGACCCCTTTTGCAGTGTGGCCTCGTCTGTCGGGGAGATACAACCCCAGATTCCAGCCTTACTGTCTCATTGGCGCGCCTAATCTTAGAAACTACAATACCCATGAGGCCACTGGGCAAGGATAGGCCTGGTTAAGGACTCGGAAGCCCGTTGCCTTCTGGGAGTTGTAGTTTTATTACATAAAATCGCCGGATAAGGATATGGAAAATGGTATGTACCAGCCCCGGGGAACCTCAGAATCTGCATCTCAGCCTTCTCCATTCCCAAATCCCGGAGACCTTGCTGTCAGCCTCTTCCTCCCCCTGGTCTTATCTCCCTCCTTCCCTTTCCCAGGACCCAGGGGTCCGTGGTTCCCCCTGCCCTCACCAACGACCCCCATATAGGTATCCTCATTAAGCGACAGTTCCTGGAAATCCTTCACGGCTTTCTCTACCCTTTGCATCATGGCTTTGTGATGCTTCGCGTCCAGATGGCCAGGCAGATAATCTTTCTCCAGGGACTTTAGCGCCAGCACGACAGACGGGTCACATATAACACACTCCTCGGCAGGAAGCAAGCAACCGGCCAGCGCCGCACACAGGAGGGTAAAATGCGGCCCCATTGCAGCCGGCGCGCACAGTTCCTGAAGACCGTTAGGAAGGGTGCTCTCACCCCAAACCGAGAGCAGGAGAACGCTAAACGGAGAAAAGCCAAAATCCATCTTAAGAAGTCCCACTGGGCTCCCTACCCATGGGGTCCCCAAACCGCGAAAAGAGGATCTTCAGGAAATCTCCAAATAAAGAGGACCTATGTCGTTCATCAAATGCCTCCGAAGTGTGAAACTCAGCCCCAACCCAGGGGACCCCAAATTTAGGGTTCTCACTGCATCCCAATTGAGAGATCAGAAAAACTGTTAAACAGGAAGCATTCATAAGTCCCCAAACTCAGGACCTGGAATCTCCCAACCCCATGCGCCCCTTCCCAAAATCCCAAACTATGGAATTTTCCAAGTCCCCAGATTGACGTGATCCTGAACTCCAACCCTTAAGTGCAACCCTGAGGCACTCCCCCGCCAGCCCCCAAAAACCTGTTGAACCTCAAGCTGAAGATTCAAAGCCCAAACCAATAAATCATCTAACACAGACCCAACCACGATATTGTCAAACTCGGAAGTCCTTCAAAACCAAAACACATTCCGAATTCCTAAACCTGGGGTCCGCACTAAGACTTAAGCAAGACTCCATGCGGTCCTCCAGACCCAGGGGGCCCTTGTTCACCCTTCCCCAAAACTAACGGGCTCCCAATTTGCAGGGCGCACCCTTCTGCTTAGAAAGGAGCCCCGGTGCATCCTGAACAGTGATGCACCCTAAAGAGCCGCTCCCCGACCTTGATTCCTGACTTGTGGCTTCTAACACTGGGGTTCGTTGAGGAGCCCGGTCCAGGTTCTGAGGGCTTTTAAAGAAGAACCCGGGGTCATGACCACCTACGCTAATTTTCCCAGGGCTAAAATCAAGGATTTTGTTGGGGACGAGGGTAAGGTTGGTTGCGTGAAATCGAGAGCTTTTCGATGGGGGTCTGAGTCACGGAGGATCCCCTCTCCTCAGGGAACTCCTGCAAACACCCGCTGCGAGCTTCTCACGTAGAGGCCCGAATTCTCTTATAGATATTCCTTGGGCGTTCCTTGGCCCCACCCAGAAACCCAACTCTGTCTGATTGGACTGCAACAAAGGGAGGCCCCGCCTATCGCTCCATGACGTCACAGAGGCTGCAGCCTTTTTGGACTAGAACTTTCCCTGCATCTACCGAAGAGGAAGGCTCCTGACTGCTCTGGCTTCCAGAGTCAAGGACCGGACTCTAGCGTTCAGCTTTCTCTCCTCTCCTTGCCCCAGGACCCAGGCTTTGGGCTAGATCCGGCCCCCCAAGCCGCTGCCGCCCCTACCGCGGTCCTTGGAAACGGCTGTCGAACTACGAAGCGGACGTTTTAGCCATAAGACTACGATTCCCAGAATGTCCTGGGGTCTCTTTCTCTGTAGCTGATTAGCGCTGCCAACCCCATAGCTTTCCGGGAAATGTAGTTCAATGATAATCTGTTCGCTCCCTCCTCCGCCTCTTCTCCCCATGCGGAGGTCCCAGCGGGAGGAGAGGACTGGGGGCCAATACTGAGGGTCCAGAAGAGAGCAACTGGGGGCTCAGACGTTTGGGTCCTGGAAGGTCTGTCTCTCCTGTGTGACTGAAACAGGAAACCAGAAAAACAGGGACCACAACTCTCAGAAGTCCAGCAACAAGGAGCTGTCAGATCTAAGTAGGGACAGTACTCCCAATCACGAGTAATAAAAATCCTCAGGGCCAGGCGCGGTGGCTCACGCCTTTAATCCCAGCACTTTGAGAGGCCGAGGTGGGCGGATTGCCTGCGGTCAGGAGTTCGAGACCAGCCTGGCTAACATGGTGAAACCCCGTCTCTACTAAAAATACAAAAATTAGCTGGACATGGTGGCACACGTCTGTAGTCCCAGCTACTCCGGAGGCTGAGGCAGAAGAATCACTTGAACCCGAGAGGTGGAGGTTGCAGTGAGCCGAGATCACACCACGGCACTCCAGCTTAGGTGACTCGGTCTCCAAAAAAAAAAAAGTCTTCAGAAGTACCCGCCTTTTCCTCCACTCACTCTCACACACACACACACACACACACACACACACACACACGGAAGCTCTGACTCCAAAAAAGCTGCAGAGACAGAGGTTGGTGCTGTAGACTTTTAATTCATACCTCCTGCTCTCTTACCTGTGGCAGCTGAGTTGGGAACAGTGCTGTAACTGTAACAATTGTACTGTAAGTGTAACTCCCTGATAAGCTTGGAGGCATGGGATCCTGGATGAGTAGATAGGGGATGTGATCAGAGTTGACTAAGTTTAAGATTTCTTCTGCCGGGCGCGGTGGCTCACGCCTGTAATCCCAGCACTTTGGGAGGCCAAGGCGGGTGGATCACGAGGTCAGGAGATCGAGACCATCCTAGCTAACATGGTGAAACCCCGTCTCTACTAAAAATACAAAAAAAAATTAGCTGGGTGTGGTGGCGGTGCCTGTAGTCCCAGCTACTCGGAGGCTGAGGCAGGAGAATGGCGTGAACGCGGGAGGCGGAGCTTGCAGTGAGCCGAGATCGCGTCACTGCACTCCAGCCTGGGTGACAAGGCGAGACTCTGTCTCAAAAAAAAAAAAAAAAGATTTCTTCTTTCACCCTCCAAAAAAAAGCAAGGGACTCCTGTGATCTCGACAATCCTGTCCACCTTGGCCAGACCTCGTGCTCCTGCCTGGATTTGAGGCTGGGTCCAGTGTCTGCATACCTTTAGATCCTTTTATCTCAGACCTGCTCAATGCCAGATGTGGTTCTGGGAGTTCAGGGGCAGACAATGGTTAGCAACGAGCACAGTGCCTGCCAGCTTGTCACAAGAACAGAGGGTGTGTTTATGCCTCCACACTTCCAGAAAACAGATCCCAGACCCCCAGCGGCCCACCTGCAGAGAAAGACCATCTTCCCTCATCGTGAGAGGAAACCTGAACTCAGACCCAATATATGGAGCTCTGGCAGTTTATGAGCTTAAAAAAAAAGTGTCCCTGGATCCCTGGAAAGTTCTGCTCCAGAAGCTGCACCATTTTAGCAGTGATCCCTCACCGCACTTTTGCGTTTTAGCCTGTCTGCTCAAAACAAACAAAAAAGTCTTTGAGGGGCTGGAGGGCTGGCTGGACAGAGTCCTGCTCTGCTCACCAACTGCCCCAGCTTCTCCAGAGACTGTGAACACAGCAAGACGCTGGCTAACTAGAGATGGTTTGTTTTCCATCTCGATTTTTCCAGCAATGGCGGGGCACACGTTAGATGCTACAATTAGGTTGTACATTCATTAGATTCTTCACTTGGCCAGGTGTGCTGGTTCACGTCTGTAATCCCAGCATTCTGGGAGGCCAAGGTGGGAAGATTGCTTGAGCCCAGGAGTTCAAGAACAGCCTGGGCAATATCACAAGACCTTGTCTCTACAAAAATTTTTAAACATTATCCGGGTTGGGCATGGTGGCTCACACCTGTAATGCCAGCACTATGGGAGGCCGAGGCGGGCGGATCACGAGGTCAGGAGATTGAGACCATCCTGGCTAACACGGTGAAACCCCCTCTCTACTAAAAATACAAACAAAAATTAGCTAGGTGTGGTGGCAGTCGCCTGTAGTCCCAGCTACTCCGGAGGCGAAGGCAGAATGGCACGAACCCGAGAGGCGGAGCTTGCAGTGAGCTGAGATCACGCCACTGCACTCTGGCCTGGGCTACAGAGTGAGACTCCATCTCAAAAAATATATATAAATAAATAAATAAAAAAGAAAAAACAAAATTATCCGGGCTGGGCACTGTGGCTCACGCCAGTAATCCCAGCACTTTGGGAGGCCGAGGCAGGTGGATCACAAGGTCAAGAGATCGAGACCATCCTGGCCAACATAAAAATACAAAAATTAGCTGGGCATGATGGCGTGTGCCTGTAGTCCCAGCTACTCAGGAGGCAGAGGCAGGAGATTCGCTTGAACCCAGGAGGCGGAGGTTGCAGTGAGCCAAGATCACGCCACTGCACTCCAGCCTGGGCAACAGGGCGAGACCCTGTCTCCAAAAACAAAAACTAAAAAGATTCTTCACCTTAGTTATCTGGATTTCCAGAATCCCATCCTGTCTGTAAAGGCCCTGCAGGGTTCTTCACAGGCATCAAATCTGGCCCTCTCTAGAACAAGCCTCCCTCTAGAATCACTCCAGAAACACAGAAGGGGACTTGGTGAATGCTTGCTCTGGACCAATCATATTTTCCTTCAGTCTTTGGAGGACCCAAGGGAGAAGTAACCCCTCTTCTAGAATAGACCAGAGGGAGAGTTCCCTATTCCTGTGGGCAGCCATCTGGAAGTACTGTAGATACGGGCTGGGAAGAGCAGGTGGGCACTGTGGCTTCTAGAACTGCCTGCCATCCATCAGGAAAAGATGTTTTGCTAGTTCTAGAATGTTCGGACAGTTCCAGAAAGAACCCCCTTCTCTCCAACTCTCCCAACTAGAATGGCTCTGGAAACGGGCACCCATTTGCTTCAGGAGCACCACAGGCTTCTCCAGAAGATGCCAGGCCTCTAGAGCCATGTACTGCTGGCTCTAGAAAGATCAGGCTATTTCAGAAAATCTCCCCAGCTCTCAAGGCTCAGTCAATGTCCAGAGTGGAGACAAGTCTGCATTAATGCCCACCCACTCCGGCAAGAAGGCAGCCTCTGGCTTAAAGATCTTCAGGAACTCAGAGTCTGGCAGGGTGAAGTTGGCCAGGTAGACAGTGTCTCCGCCAGCCAGGTAGGCAGCCCAGAAGCCGAAGGTGCCAATGGTCATAATGGTGTGGTTGCACTGTGTGAGCAGGGCAAAGTCTTTCCACGGTGTAGCCTCCTGTCCATCGCCAGCAAACGTCACATCGCCCTGGAAGGTGTCGATGTTTTCTTTACACCACTCCATGCCGTTGCTGGTAACCACAAAAACTGGGGCTTCGTACCGTGCCCGGAACCAGTCCATGGCCTGCCGGAGGTAGGCTCTGTCGCCCACCACACCCTTCCAGCGCTGAGGCATAACCTGCAGATAGTCCCCACGGCGCACGTGGACGCCCACAAAGGTGCGCGGGCGGTCCCCCGTGCGGCCCAGGCGGAGCTGACCCAGCGCACTCTGCGCCTCTTCCCGAAGGTGGTCGTGCAGGGTGAACTCCCTGCGGATCTGTTCCCGTAGATGGTGGAAGAAAGTCCAAGAGCAGGGGAAGCCAGAGAGCTTCAGGAAAGGATCCCTCAAGTCCGCATACTCCTCCGACATCCAGTCGTGAAGCTGCAGCTCCCGCCATGGCGTGCGGCTGTCCACTTCTGGGGCCAGCACGGGCAGGGTGATGCGGAATACCGGCGCCAGGACGGCATGCATGGCAGGCAGGATGAAGGCCCGGCGGCCATTGAGCTGGGCCAGAGCCAGCAGCGTGGCATACTGTCCCATCTGATTACCAAACCGACCATCGGGATAGATAGTCCAGGTGCCGGAGAGGGAGGCAGAGTTCTGGGGACAGGAAGAGGAGGTGTTGGGGCCCATCGGGGTATCTGGCAGGCAGAAGATGGCCACCGGGGGTGTCACCAGGCGGCGGTCTGGACACAGGATCGACAGGCCTAGGCCATGTGGAAAGCTGTCTTGGTGGATATGGAGGAAGAAGGAGAGCGCAGAGAGGACACAGACTAGCAAGAAGGCCAGGCAGAGCTGACGACGGCTCGGGGGCCACATGGCTGCAGGGGAGGAAAGGTGAATTAGCAAATACACAGAGACTAGGGAGGGGAGGCTGAGGAGGGATGTGGGGGAAGGGAGGTGCCTGGGGTGCAGCACTCCTTAGTCCCAGGGAAAGAGGAAGTCACAGGTTTAGACTCCTGGGGCTGAGGTAGGGAGCCCCGGAGTCCTAGGTTTGAGGGATGAGAGCCTTGGAATTTCAGGGCATGGGGATTGGAAGACAAGTGGTTTTCAAGATAGCCATGATTTGGCTGGGCGCTGTGGCTCACACCTGTAATTCCAGCATATTGAGAGGCTGAGATGGGAGGATCCCTTGAGCCTAGGAGTTCAAGATCAGCCTGGGCAACAGAGCAAGACTCCGCTTTTACAAAAAAAAATTTTTTAATTAGCTTGGCATGGGCCGGGAGGGGTGGCTCACACCTGTAATTCCGGCACCTTGGGACACCAAGGCCACAGATCACCTGAGGTCCGGAGTGGGAGACCAGACTGACCAACATGGAGAAACCCTGTCTCTACTTAAAATACAAAAGTAGCCAGGTGTGGTGGCGCATGCCTGTAATCCCAGCTACTAGGGAGGCTGAGGCAGGAGAATCGCTTGAACCCGGGAGGCGGGGGTTGTGGTGAGCCGAGATCGTGCCATTACACTCGAGCCTGGGCAACAAGAGCGAAATTCCGTCCCCCGCCCCGAAAAAAAAAAAATTAGCTTGGCATGGCGGCACGTGTCTGTGGTTTCAGCTACACCGGATGCTAAGGCGGGAGGACCCCCGGAGCTCACAATGAGCCGCGATAGCACCACTGACTGCACTCCAGCTTGGGCGACAGAGAGGGGCCCCCTCTTTTAAAAAAAAAAAAAAAAAAAAGCAAAACAGACAGCCATGGTCCAGGTTCCTGCACCTTTCCTGCAGGAATCTCGAGTCTCCCCTCCTGTAAGGTCCGCTGATACTAGACTCTTCCATCAGCCTGTTTCTCAGGAGTGGCTGTCTGTGAGGAGCAAAATCCACCACAGAGGTGGTGATGGGAAGCGATAGTCGAAGTAAAACAAGAGAGGCTGGAGGGTGAGGAGCGGAAGCAGCATCTTGGTT